GAATCTATTCAATTCAAGCTAAGCTGTGTTCAGGCCAAGACTTCTGTGTTCTGACTAAAACACTGGCAGGCTTGGGCAGACAAAGAACACAAATGGCATTCAAAATGACAGACAATGGGAATCTCATCTTCTCCTGATGGCAGCGGCTTAAAAATCAGGGAGGGTAAAACACACCATTCCACTACAGTTATGTACTATTGTTAGAGAGGCAGAATGGGAGGGGGGGATTAGAATTAGATGCAGTTTTCTTTCCTTGTACTCAAATTTATCTTTCAGTATATTTTTTTTGGTTTGTGTACTAACTTTTACTTTCAAATCAGATGCAAATTGTTTTTAGACCAATGTTCCCAACCAATGCTGTGTCTGATTATAGCACAAAAGAACCTCACAAGAACCCAGAAAGTAGAGAACGTATAAGGCTTTCCCCAAAGATGAATTCTGATAGGTTGCTACCAGTCATACTAAATCTCCCAGATTATCCAGCAATGGAGGGGTGGGGAGACGAGAGTGATCCAGCCATGTTCTAGGAAAAATGAGCTTTAGTTTTACTTTTCCAAAGCTTAGAGGACACCATAGAACTCTTATGAGGTAATTTTGAAATACAAGAGCTAGCTTAATAACCGTGCAGTCTAACATATGGAAGTCTTTAAGGAGAAATTCCAGAGGAATACTATTTTCAGCTCATGAAACAAAATGTCAAAGAACAGAAATAAAATTTATTTGGGAAAGTGGGGAGGAAGAAGAAAAAGAGGAATGCAATGCATCACACAGAGACTTTCAAACAAAAAATTTAAAAAGTCAATCTAATGTAGCCAATTGCATTTTACCTATTTGAGTAGAGTGCTGAGTTTTAGAGCCTATGCAGAACTTGTCAAAAAGAAGTTCAGGGAAAATGCAAGTCCTTACAGAGCATCTGATGACGTGGACTCTGGCCCACAGAAAATTATGTCAAAATAAATGTGTTAGTTGTTAAGGTGCCACAAGACTCTTGGTTGATTTTGTCCACACTTAGCTGTGACATGCTCTTATTTCTAAAAAGCCTCAAATTACTTTATGCATCAGCTTTTCAGCATAGTACACCACCTCACTATTTGCACACCCAGTCTACTAATTATATCTGTCCACCCACATGTGGTTAGAACTTGGCATCTGAATCCATTATCACTGGACTTGTCACCTTCTCCTGCTTCTACCCTTATGCCTGTTTCAATTTGCTGCCCCTCCCGCTCAGAAACCTCATTTGCCCTCTGCCTTTTTTTTATTTCCTTATCATTCCATAGCTCCACTCTCACATTTTGATCCCTCAACTTTATGACTAGTTACAAAACCTAAAATGAATCTTTAAACTTCTCTCCCTCAGCAGCTATGTCGTTTTCCATCTAGATTCAAATCAGTATGTTTTGTTCCAAGAGCAGGAGAAAGTATTCTTGGAGAGAAATCCCATAATAAAGTCCCCTCTTAACATAAAATTAGGGCTAAGGACAAGTTTGCTGAAAACTTCTCCATATGCAGCATAAGAATATCATTCTAGGCCAGGGGTCAGCAACCCGCGGCTCCGGAGCCGCATGTGGCTCTTTTACACCTTTGCCGCGGCTCCGGGGCGGATACTAACGAGGGGAGGAGGCGCATTGTGTGCCCCGACACTCCCCACTGTTTTAAATGTCGCAATGGTTTTGTGGCTCCCAGTTTTTTTTCCTTCGGTCCAAGTGGCTCTTTTTGTCTTAAAGGTTGCAGACCCCTGTTCTAGGCTATACTTTGCCATAACAAAATGGCAAAAAATTGGTCTAACAATCTGAAACCTAAACTTTCATTTTACAATGAACATCCCAAGCCACATGAACCCAGAATTTATATTAAAAAGACAGTTTCAGCAACTTAGGAGCAGATTGATTGTTTAAATCAAATTCCAACCAAGTTTTAAATGCAGTAGCAAACAAATGAAATCCTTTATTCAACTTTACCAATAACCAACACCATTTTGAGAGAATATCCATTAACATCCCTGTTAAGTGAACTGTTATTTTGCACCACCAGTAGTTTCCCCATTCAAATATAAAGCTTGGGATGTTGAAATAATAACATAGGTTGCTATCATAGAACTGGAGGCATAATAGTGAATAAACTTGTTCTGCACTAGCAGAACAAGCCCAAAAAGGAAATAAAAATGCAAAATCGTGCTAGCCAGTATTTATTAAAAACTTGGGTATTTTCCTAATAAATACCCACCTGCTCTACTTTGCATTTTCCTCCTTGTTAAAGGCATAATAACTAAAGTAGTCAGATGCATAATACAGCTTAATGTTAAGCAAGTCTTGATAGAAGCTTAGGTCTCATTCATGTTGTAACCAAGACTGGATTTAGAACTCACAGTTCAAGTTTTCTTACCAACCACTGAGCCTGCTAATAAGCATGGAATTTGGCATTTGGAAGAGGAATCCTAAGCACATTTACTGAGATGTTTACTTCCCTCCAGTGAATATCTAAGCCCGCAATCCTATATTCACTTACCTGGGAGTAAGTCACATTGAACTCAATGCAGCTTACTTCTCAGTAGACTTGTACAGGACTGTCTGTAAAACGTTACACCATTGAGTTGGATTGGTGGCGCTGCAGAGGGGTTATTTTGTACTTGTTGGTGCAGCCCTTTGTTTTTTTCGGATGTTGAGTGATAGGCCAAGCTTTTGGTAAGCTTCTACAAAGATATTTAGGATGGTTTGGCTACGAGTGATCGCCAAAGAAGAAGAAAGTCTGTAAAAATCTCTCACTGCAAAAATCTAAAGGAGAAGCTCCTGTACTATATAATACCAAGTGTGGTGTAGTCAACAGAATGCTAATCTAGGAAGACCTAGATTAAAATATCTGCATAGCCATTATAATGATCAGTAGTTGAACTTGGGCTCAACACTCTTTGTGCCAAACTGATTTCACAAGCCACTGTGACATAATTGATTATGGTTCCACCAAACACCTAATTTATTCTTGCAACTACCCTGTGAAGTGCCACTCTGTGCACTTCAAAGGAAGGCAGGATAATTACCGTATTTTTCTGTGTATAAGACTAGTTTTTTTTACTTTAAAATAAGATTAAAAATCTGGGGGCGTCTTATACACAGATAGTGCATACGCCCATTTTCTAAACTGGGGCCCGCAAAAGTAGGGGGCGTATTATACATGGGGCAGTCTTATACATGGAAAAATATGTTATGTAATACGTATATGAAGCAATATTGAATGGTATTTGGAAATTGTAGCTCATTCATTACTTGCCATCATACTAGGCTAGTACCCCTACACAGATAAACAATAGTCCAATTGATGAGCAAATCACATATAAGCTTCGTGTACTTTGTGTTCTTAGTTGTCAAGCTGCAGTGGATTTCATAATAGATTTAGAACATGTGATGCTGAAATCTTAGTATAATCTGTATAAATGGTTCAGGGCTGAGCAACAATGGTTAGAAAGCAATTAGGTTGCGTTGGAGTCCTTAGAAATCTGGGAACAATGAATCCAGCTGCACTTATACAGTGTACCTTTGTTATACCACCTTTCTTACTTCTTTCAAATCCCTCCACAAAACCCATCTTTTCCATAAAGCCTTTAGCACAATCTCCAATTACTACAAACCCAAAAAATGTGTAGCTGAAATAAATACAGAGTCTTCCCCTGCTTACGCCTGCCTGTACTTCCCTCCATTTTATCTGTGGTCACCTGTGGTCAATTGCTTAGAATGTAAGCCCCCTCAGGTATGGATAGGACTGGTTATCTTGTATTTGTAAAGCGCCGTGCACATTAATTACATTACAGTATATACAAAGAAACATAATATTGCATCTCTTAGTTTTTATTTGATGGCAATCATGACAACTATATATTCAATCCAAGACCTGAAATTTAGGCAGTTTCTTTCAATCCCAAAGTCCCCCTCCCCACAAAGCAATTTAACTAGCCAAGCAACTCCAATACAATACTACAGTATATCTTCACTCACCTATTCCTCGGCTTTATTTGCAAGTGCAACTAAAAATGCTCAGCTATTAAGCAAGCACAAGTTACATGTTAAAGTTCAAGCCAACCACCTTCTGTGAACCTAGGTTTATCATTTATCTAAGGCAAACAAGAAAATATGCCTTGGTTGCGTGTTTTTTTCTGCCCCAGGAAAGTTCAAGGGGCATATTTCAGTAGGGCAAAAGCTCCAATAAAAATCATTGCTGAATTAGAAAATAATTTACCAAGATGAACGTTCATTGCAAAAGAAGGATGGGGTGGGGGGGGGGGAGGAGGCACAAAGTCAATTCATGAGCAGGGGAAAACAAAGAGCTATTTTTGACTCATCTTCTTATGTCACACTGTGCTGATCGGAGCGGGCACTGCCACAGCGCAGCAATAGATGATGCGACTGCTTGAAATGCGCTTTATCACAGCACCCCTAGAATACCACACCTCGATTTCAGGAGGCACTGGCATAACTAGAATTGGAGAATGAAAGCAACACTCTTTCCAAGACTTAACCCATTGAGCAAACCAATTTTGTAAGTAGTGAAATGACACGTTCAGCTGATGCTTGGAAACAACTATGTATTTCCTCGGGCAAAGTGGCTTTTCTTTGTTTGCATGCAACAGATTGAAACGGGAGGCATGGTCTCTCCGAGTCGAGAAGCTCCGGATTCCTACGGAAAGACGCGTGTCGGGTGTGCACGCATCCTTGTGTATCGCTCGAAACTCCGCCGGAGTATCGACAGGGCAAATGCTGCCGAAGCAGGAGAGACCAGAGCCGGGAAGGCCGGGGCAGGAGGAGCTCTCCAGGGCTGGGCCCGCGCGCGACCCTGAGCCGGCGGGGAAAGAACTTCCACGCACTGCCCCGTCCAGACCTCTCCACTCACCGCCTTGTCAGAGCCCTCAACCTTCCACATCTCGCCGGTGCCGCGTGTCACGTCAACACACCGCGCGCGACGTCTCTCCCTCTCGTGCGCGCGCCTTCGTCCTCATCTTTCCGCGACACCCGGTTGCCGTAGCAACGGGCCGCCGCGAGGGAAAACACCAGCGTGGCTTCTAGGGGGAAACATGAAGGGGAAAGGGAAGGCGAAAGCGGCGAAAGGAGGGAAGTAGGTAGCTAGGGAGACGGGGACGGGCGGACGGGCTGACGCTGGGACCCACCTCTCCGGGCAAAATCTGGCGGGTGGGGGCGAGAGTCGCCCGGGCCCCCTTGACCCTTCTATGGCGCGGTGTCGCTCGCTTCCCTCAGGGGGAAGAAGGGCGGCCCCGGCGGCAGCGGCAAGAAGGTTGACGTGAAGGCCCTGAAGGAGGAGTCGGAGGCCGACAGGGCTAAAGCTGCGGCGTCGCTATGGGAGGCCAGGCTGGAGGTGACCGAGGTCTCCCGCAAGGAGTACCGCGCCGCCGCCCGCCGCCTCGCGCAGAACAACGAGGAGCTGGAGCGGCAGCAGCGGCGGCTGGAGAGGGACACGGTGGACGTGATGGGCTACCTCAAGAGGCAGGACATGGAGAAGGAAGATCTGGTAGGTGCGGAACAGCAGGCGAACTTCCTCCTCCTTTTGCAGAGTTGCTACCCCTTAACGCTGAAGGCTACGATCTTTCCAGCCTGTCGAGCTAATTCAGAATAATCTGTCTAGTTCCACGGTTTTTATACACAGATGCAGTGCTCTCTTTTTCTAAAAACATGTTTAGGGGTGCTCTCACTTTCCTACTCATATTGAAATACTGCCCCTCAATGAGGCCAAACTTAGATGCACAAAATGTTTAGGGGTATGCATCCCCCTGCATCCTCCCAGAAAAAAGCACTGTATACGTGTGTGTGTGTGTGTGTGTGTGTGTATACACACAAAAACCCCACAACCAAAATAAAAATAAAAATGAAGGAACTGATTGCTGTTGTATTCATTAGGCAATCTTAAAACTGGTGTGGGAAACTTTTAACCCTCCAGATGTTGCCTTTTTAGCCCTAGCAAGAGTGGCCAAAGGCTGGGAGCTGTAGTTCAGGAACATCTGGAGCACCAGAGGTTCCCCACACCTGTCATATGGCATGTACTTTCAGAATGGAGACGTGACATAGAATTTCAGAGCAATCGCCACTGCTACGCTTTTTAAGGGGAAAAACAACCTAGATGAGGAGGAAAGTGTTTCTCCTCAACACTGTTTAGATTTTCTTTCTTTGCAACAGATATGGTAAAGGTAAAGGTACCCCTGCCCGTACGGGCCAGTCTTGACAGACTCTAGGGTTGTGCGCCCATCTCACTCAAGAGGCCGGGGGCCAGCGCTGTCCACAGACACTTCCGGGTCACGTGGCCAGCGTGACATCACTGCTCTGGCGAGCCAGAGCCACACACGGAAACACCGTTTACCTTCCCGCTAGTAAGCGGTCCCTATTTATCTACTTGCAGTGCTTTCGAACTGCTAGGTTGGCAGGCTCTAGAACCGAACAACGGGAGCGCACCCTGCCACGGGGATTCGAACTGCCGACCTTTCGATCGGCAAGCCCTAGGCGCTGAGGCTTTTACCCACAGCGCCACCCAAGTCCCTTTGCAACAGATAGTGTTTGCCAAAACTATTATCCTTTCATTTTTCATTGGTCTTCAAAATCAATAGTACAAAAGTACTAATATGGAGTGTCATTCAGTATGTATAGTTTGGCTTTCCTTTACAATTTAGCAGCCTACTTATTCAGCCCACTGACTGTAAGACTTTCACAGCAAATACCCTATCTACTGTAGCACTTTTGCAAAGAAAGATATAGAGAACAAAGTATGAAATAATCACCCTCATATAACTAACATGCTTAAATCTAATTAATGTGTGGGGGGACCAAAACTATAAAGCTGTCCTGTCAGGCTTAGCTAGGTCACACACCCTCACCTTGGGAAAGCTCTTTGTTCTTCCGTTCCACCATGTGAACCCTGAACTGAATTTTTCCAATCCATAAAATGATTGATTTCCCCCCCTCATTTTCTTTTTTAAATATGTAGATTGAGAAGCTAAAGCTGCAGTTGATTGAGGTGAAGCAAAAAGCCAAAGAAGAGAACGATGAACTGGTGAATGGACATGTCTTTTGATTCTGTGGGACACTGGGGCACTGAAAACCAGACTAAACACATTTTGGGTTGCACCTGACAATAGATAAGTTGCACAAGACTGTTTTACAGTAAATATATTTAATCTTCTAATCTCTAGTGGTTCTACTCTTTAAGTCATGACTAAGTCTTTAACTAGGGCTGCCATACGTTCGGGCTCTGAAAATGGCATCTGGGTGGATTTTTGCCGAAGCGTCAAAATGTCTGGGAAAACCTGGACGTATGGCAAGTAGAGGTTTCTTTAAAAAAAAAAGCTTTAAAAATCATTTTAAAAGTCTAAAAACATAATTGGGGTGTGGGTGTGTTCCTAACAATTTTGTCCCCCCTCTCCTCCCCTCCCCCAGAAGAAAAAAACTCAACAACGTTGTCCGGATTTTCACTTTTGGGAGTATGGCAATCCTACCTTAACTGTTTTTGGGGGGCAGGATTTGCCAGAAAAAAATTGGAAAACTAAGTCCAAAGTATGTTAATACTCAACCTCATGGCAATACACCCCTACCTGCGATTAAGTTCCCTTCAACTCAATGACTTATTTCTAAATAAGCATGCCTAGAGTCAGAGATGGAGTTCTCATCAACATTTGGCTTATGCAACTGGAGGTAGAACTGACTTGGAATTGTTATACTATTATTGGTTCTAAAAAGTCATCATTTAAAGCTTCATTTTGTTAAGTTATTTTAGTTCTTTATTGGTAGCTCTTCCCTAGTGATGCTCTTTAATGTGAATTGTTTTTAAACATGCTACACATCAAGCTGATCCTAATGCAATATGCTCATTTTTCAGAATTTAAAAAAAAAAGATTTTTGCCATACCTGTGTCTCTTACCAAAAAGCCTTTGTCCAGGAATTTGCAGAATTGGAGCAGCATCTAACTATCACCAACTAGGGAGGGGAGGGGGAGAACTCAGGGAAAGCATGTTGCAGGTGGGGTGAGCAATGGTCATTTTTCTCTGTTTCCTCCCATGGTAATCAGTGGGACAATCAGAACTTAAGCCAGTTTGTGTCCTCACATAGATTTCCTCCATGTTCATGGATATGAGTGTGCAATTACAAACACTGATAGTATGCTTCTCCTCCACGCCCTACCCTTTCCTCTGCCACTCTACCTCTGGGATTTTGCTGGTGTAATTTTTCAGCTGATGGGGTGTTCCATCAGTGTAACAACGGGGTTCTGGCAGTGGATAGCTTGTTCTGCCTCTGTAGGTTCAATTCCACCAGTGGAAAAGGAGTTCTTCCACTTCCAAAGGCCATTCGGCCAGCAGATACCTAGGGTAGGATTGCACCATTAGTTGTTTTTTTTAATCTTGCTAAAAGTTTCTAATTTGCAGGTACAATATTACACCAAACAGTTGGAGGAGATGGAGGAAAAATTCAACAAGAAGGCCAAAGAAATTGGCCTAATTCAAGTTGAGCTGAAAATGATAATGGATTTTCGCAAAAAGAAAGCTCTTTTGGAAAAACAACTTGAAGATGTAAGTTTATTATTAGCGTTTATTATGCTAAGTGTTAGAAGTGCATTGGGTGATTTCTAGACTGCTATGCTAAAGTACAGCTATGCTGGACTGCCAAAGTGTAATTTGGAAAAATGAAATGAAGTTTTGAGAGAAAGGCTCAGAAGTCACTAGAATGAGACAGAAAGTTTTTCCCTTTGATTTTTGTCAGAAAATCAAGTGTTTACATTTGCAGTTTGATGACCTTTTAGCAATTTATTCAGCTTATCATATATAATGTGATGTACACTTCAACTGAGATATTTTCAAGATTTGTGTGTAGCAGATTTTGGATTATATACTCTGACAAAGATGAAAAGCTATGTCAAAATGTGAGAAGGTATGCAAGGCCTGTGCTTTCAGCATTGCTCACAAAGTAAGTGTTACCTGCAGTGCTTTTTTCAGGGTGTACTTTGAAGGGGAAGCAGTACTGGCACCTCTTTTGTTGTGTTAAAAAGTGTGGTACTTATTGTAACAACTTCACGGTGAGTACTGGCAACTATTTTTCTAGAAAAAAGCATTGGTTACCTGATATGCAAACTTGCAAAAATGTGAAAAAGTGAGTTGGTAAATTTTCAGGTAACAGATGGTGAAAGCACGGTGAGTTTCAAGGCATGCAATACGGACATATGAGAAAAATGTGTGGCATAGTGTGAGATACCGCTCTAGAGAGTTTTGTTTAAATTGTCATTTAGATGGTTAAAATAATAATTAAATATTTCTTAAAATCCTAGCTCAATGAAATCATGGAAATCACAGAAAAAGAACATCAGGAAACAATCTGCATGTTGGAGAAAAAGTTCCTTGAAGAAAAGGTATAGTGTTGGGGCAGTAGTACATATGTTGTTTCAGCATGCACAGTCCTTGCGATAATGCACAGGATGTCTGCTTCAATCCACCAGTTCAAACAGCTTTGAGGCAGCAATATGGGGCTTGTAGTCTATGTGTATGGAATGAAGAAATATGAAGTACTGTACTGATCCAGATTCCAGATTTGCAATATTTTGCCTGTTCTGTTATCTTCCCCCAACCTGAAATAATAAATAAGGAAATAGGTACCGATTTTAAGGAAAAGTTATGGATCTCTGCCATTCTGCTTCTGTCTGTTTTGAACCTCAACCTTCAAATGCAACCTTTTGTTATTTTCTATAACACAGAAGTGGCGAACACTTACTTCATATACTTTTGAAATGTGAATGCCGCTTTATGCCTGGTTTTCATTGCAAAATATCTGTTTATGCTTCTTTCAGCAACGACTTGAAAGAGAAGCAGAGAAGAAGATTTATATGCTAGCCGAAAGGGCTCACCATGAAGCCATTATGTAAGACTTACTTGATTTCTCTGTTCTTTAACCATTGTGAAGATGCTAAAGTATGGTAATTCCTAGGATATCCACATGGGTGCTTTGTTTCTGATAAGTAAATATGATGCTGGACCCAAAGCAGCCTTAACACACCCATGAATGCTGTCTCCATCTGTTTGTTTTGTATCTACAGCTTGTGCACTGTGACGTATTGTGATTAATACAGGAAATTTGTGATTCCAACTGCTGAATAGTCTTTACCCTTATTCAGGCAGTTGGACGCTGCTGGAAAAGCTGTTTTTTCAGAGAATGTTCGTCTTCATGAGGCTCTTGGATACCACATGAAGGAAACAGAAGAGTTACAAAAAGCCAAGCAAAAACTGGAGGAGAAAAATGCCTTTCTCTTGCAGGAGAAGGTTAAGTTTATGACTTCTTACCTTTTTCATTCTCCTATACATAAGATCCCTTGAAATTCATTTTGTGCATGTTTCATTAGAGCTAGCACCTCCCCATATCTGTGTCAAAATCACTTAACATTTGGTGGTATATTGGGAAGCTAAAGCTCCTGTTCTGTTCTGTAATGAAAAGGCTTCTAACACCAATTCACATGTTACTTGCATGTAGGGCACTCGTGTTGAAACAGGGGCAGGGCTGATGACTTGTTCCCAGGCTAGTCTTTACCTAGCCTTTATCTGCATTCAAAGGAATGCAAACATGGGAGCAGCTGCTGTTACACCTACATGTGGCACCTAGATGTCAATGGTACATCTGGTTGTGTAAGTGTCCTGATCACGTGGATCCTTGTATTTGAACAGCAGCTTGTGCGTATGGAATCATTTTCAGATACCATTCAACATGTGGACATTGGTTATGCAGCCTGGGGATGTAATTTCAGGGGTGGGGTCATGTTATGGGCCTTGAGCATGCAAATGCCTTACACACCAGTAATGCATGAATAGGTGTCCACAGAAGATCATATTCTATATTTTCTCCTTTGGTATTTTGAGATTTTGGGATATATTCAGTGGGTGGGATTTACCTAAGCAGCTCAACCCACTTGCGACTGGGCTCCCTCTTCCCAGCCCTCCCAAATTGGCTCTGAGCTGGCGGACAGGAGAACCCCAGAACAGGGCATGGGGGAGGCAGGATCGTTCCATCTGGCAGGCTGCTGCTTGTGCAGACTGAATGATAGAAGAAGCACAGCATTGAATTCCACCCATTATTGATTATTATAGTCATATATCAGAGCCAGAATAATTTTAAAATTAGTCCAAATCCCATCACTATTGTGAAAGTTCTAGATTTAAACATAAATTAGTCATTCCAATTGAACACTGTCCGTTTCAACTACCTGTGGCTAACCTAAAACCTATAGTAGTTTCCCTCCAAAATGCACTAGTTTTGCATATTAACTGGAAGAGAAAGCTTATGTTAAGTTTTTATCAGATTGTTATGTTATGTTTTTATCAGATTGAGCATGGGTTGAAGGGAGAGAATGTGTGTGCAAGCTGCTCAGCAGTGGACTATTTAATCTGCCTATCTGAGATTGGTGAATTTGCAAGCAGGACAAATTTTAATCTAGTCTGTAATCCATTGAAGTTTTCAATTTTGTTTATAACCGTTTCAAGAATTTTAATTGTTTGAAAGCTTTGATAATCAAAAAACAGCTTTCAAACAGTATTACCTTGCAAGTAATTTTATTTATTTATTTTTAAAGGAAACCAATGAATTGTTAGTTCAGGAAAAGATACGGCAAATCACTCAGCAGAAAGCCCTGATCCAGGACCTGCAAAACAAGGTGAAAAAACTGGAAGAAGCTGTTTATCATATGACCCGAGAATTTAAAACTGAAGTTGAAAGTACCCAACAGAAGGCTTTGATGCAGAACCAGGCAGGCCAGACAGAAATTGCAAAGCTGCAGCAGCTGCTGGAAATGAAGGAACGAGAGATGAGCAGAGTGAAGAAACTGGCCAGAAATATCCTGGACCAAAGGACTGAAGTGGAGAAGTTCTTCTTAGATGCTCTGGAGCAGGTGAAACAGGAGATCATAACCAGCAGAAAGTGCTACAAGCAGGTGGCTCAAGATGCATATCAGAGAAAAATGATGGCAGCATATGCAGGGAAAGATGAATACCCTAAAATCAGAACCTTTAACAACAATGAGCACAGCACAAATAGTGTACAAATGGACCTTCTGGAAGCAGAGAAATGGTACATGTGGTAGAACTGTAGAAGTTTTCTTTCTGGTGGCCCTGGCTGCCAGGAACAGAAAGTGTGTAAAAATCCCTGTGAAATAGCACACCTCAATTTAGACTGTCTTCAGATAGGGCCGGGGTAGGGAACCTTTTTTAGCCTGAGACACATTTCTTTCTTGGCAACCTTCTGGGACCACATGCCAGTAGTGAGTGGAGCCAAAGGTAAAGTGGGTGGAGTGACAAATGAAAATTTTACTTTTGTACAATAAGCTAGTTTCTTCACACACCCTCCCTATCCTGTATTCTGGCAAGCAAAATGCACTGTCAGAATTTAAGGGTACATTCCATCCTGGCCAAAATACCCAAGGAGAGGCATTGCCTGGAGAGAAACCTGGAAGCCAGATAGAGAAGCTTACTGCAGCACAAGTGTAAAGGAGACAGAGCCATATAACTGTAGAGTTGAAAGGGATCTAAAGGGTCATCTAATCTAACCCTGTGTAATGCTGGAAACACAACTAAGGAATCCCTGACAGGTAGTCATCCAATCCCTGTTTAAAAGTCTCCAATGAAGGAGAGTCCATCACCTTCTGAGGTAGTCAATTCCATTGTCAAAACAGCTCTTAATGTCATGATCCTAAATCTCTCTTCTGGTTAGGCACCACCGGTTCAGACCATATAAGCAGATATGTGAAGTTAGGACTTCTTTCTCCAGTGTGTATCACTTTATGTGGTGCCTAAATTGCATATGCCATTTTAATGTCTGTTTAGGAATAACCTATTAGAGTTCCTCACAATCCCTTTGTCCTGTTTGTTTTTGCCAACCTGAACGACTGGATGTCACCCCAACTCCAAATCATGATGAATAAGTTTAAAAAGCACTGCTTCCAATGCAGATCCCTGAAGGACTCTGCTTCTTCCATCTCTCCGTTTTAAGAACTGTCCATTTATTCCTCTTCTCTGCTTCCTGTTTTATTTCCAGCAGTTACTGATCTGTAAGAGGACCTGTCCTCTTATCTCTGTTAAGCTTACCCAAGAGTCTTTGACGAGGTACTTTATCAAAAGCTTTTTGAAAGTCCAAGCACACTGTGTCTACTGGATCACCCCTATTCACATGCTTCTAGATGCTCTCAAAGAGCTCTGAATCTTCTTGAGCAAGGCTTGTTCTTCTGTATACTATAATGTTATTTTTAATACCTTTTCCACCAGTTTTCCTGGAACAGATGTTCAGCTAACCTGCCTGTAATTTCCTGGATCCCTTCTTAAACGCTGGTGTTACATTGACCACTTTCCAGTCCTCAAACACAGATACAGTATCAGTCTTAAGGACAAACTACATATTTTTGTTACAAGATCAGCAATTTGAGGTCTTTAAGAACTCTTAGTTGGATGCCATCTGGATCAGGTGATCATTTTTATTTTGTCCATAATACCTTTGTCTCTTGTCACCACTATTTGCCTTAGTTCCTCAGAGTCCCTTCCTGAGAAAGTTAATTCAGTTACAAGTGCTTGCCTTACATCTTCAGAAGCAAAAACTTTTCTTTGATTTCCCTTTCTTCCATCTGCACACTTTGACACCCTTGTAGTCTAAAGGTCCAGCTGGCTTCTACTTTTAATTTACATACTTTTTATTGTTAGCTGTAAATGCATTTTTAAATTTATTTGGGGACATTCCTTGCCATCTGCTTGCTTTTTATTTTTTTGGCTGAAGTTTGTTTTCCTTTCCCCCCTCATTTCCCCCATTTCCCCCCTGAAATATTCCTTCTTGGATCTAATAGCTTCCTTGAAGTTGCTCCTTAATTGCAATGGCATCATCTTGGCCTAAGAAGCATAGAATTGTGGAGTTGGGAGGCATCCCGAGGGTCATCTAGTCCCAGCCCCCTGCAATGCTGAAATCTCAACACATGGTCCCCCATCTAATTTGAAACCATACCAGACCTTCCTTCATTTTACAAACGTGCTAGCAGTTTTAAGGTTGCACCTCCAGGAGAACCTTGGTGGTGTCTTTCCTGATCTAAGCTGCTATTATTGAGGTTTTGGATGATCCTAAAACATTCTGGGAAGATTTGACTTTCCTGACTTTCCCTTTCAAATTCCTTTTTACCAGTCCCCTAATTTTTTAGAAGCTTCTTTTTGAAGTCAGATGTGATGCGTTGGACTTTGGCAATTGTTCATTTACACATATATTGGATTCATTAGCGGCACAATGACTGTTCCCAATCACACCAGTTCTTGGATGCCCCTTAAAATTAAGTCCAGGATCACTTCCTCCTCCTTCAGTTCAGTGACCAACTGATCTAGGACACAGTCATTTAGGGTATATATTTGTAGGTTTATGCTCGTAAGGTACTGATTTCTTGATTTTATCTTTTTTTCTGTAGGACAAATATTCAGAAAGGAAAACTGGACATTTCTGATTTGACCTGGGAGCAGAAGGAGAGTGTGCTGAGGCTACTCTTTGCAAAAATGAATGGCCTTAAACAACGGTAAAGTCCAGTCTGTTACAGTGAGCAAGGGCTATAGAATCCTTAGGGCTCACCCACTTGGTAGCTGCCCATTTCTCAGTTCAGCACTTGTTCGCCAAACAGAAACCCTTGAGAAACGGTCCACAAAAAGAATCATGCTCAAAGTGACTTATAACAAAAGTCAACATCATAGGAACAATTTCATAACAACATAATGAAACAACATAATAGCAAAATATAACAAATGAAAAACACAGCATTTCAGTACTAATATAATAAGATGGCATTAACAAAGAATTTGCAATGGCAAAAAATAACAAGAGAGCTTGATAGTTTCTGCTTGGTCCTAGAAACATCCCTTTCACGTGATCGCTCATAGTTCCTTTCCTGCAGCAACTTGCAGGGCTTCCGAAGGGTAGTTGGAAACACTCCTCTGGTGGTGTTGGGGGAGGAAATGTTGAAACTGGAACTTTCCTTAGGTAAACCAGTTTTTTTGGAAGGAGAGGTTTGCAGAAAGTAAATACCATATTTTGCTTTTGATTGGATTAGAACCACTAGGCCTGAGAATGAGAAATTCTAGCTGCCCTGCTTTCCTAGCATACTCAGGACAAAAAAGAGACGTTAACTCCTGCAAGCAGAAGATGGAAGCTTCTGCAAGTCCTGCCTCCACTGTTGAAAAGGATGGATGCTACTGGATGTCATCCTCTGTATTAGAGCAAGAATGCAAATAGGAAAGAGTAGCTTGGAAAAATATTTCTGTGTTCCTTTTTCTTGTACAGGTCCTAACTAGCTAATGGGGGAAATGGGTATCCAGACTTTATTAAGAAGTACTAAAATTTAAAATGGCAGAATTATGAAGTATTTTCTCTAGTTTTGAAAATTTAAGCAGTGATCCGAATCCCAGTTATCTGGCAATAAGTAGCAGTGAGCTCCATTGAATTCAGTGGGACCGACTTCTGAGTAGACATGGTTAGGCTCACAGCCTTAGTTACTAGCGCATTCTGACACATAGTATTGAAATAAAGTGCAAACTAACTTACTATTCAGGAGGAGAAAATGGAACAGAAGTTCAGGTGTGTAGATTCATTGCAGAGTCAATGATTTCCCCAAAGTTTTGCAGGGTCACAGAATAGCATTGACTCTGGGAGTTCTGGGCAGAGGAGAGACAAAATGCTTGATAACAGATCAGCAGTGTCTGCTTTCTTTTCATTCAACTCTCATCACAAGGAAAATGACAGAAATGGGAACTGAATGATTTTTGCTGTCATTTCTGTTTTATAGGAAATACGGTCAAGCTTTGGTTCCCATAACTCCAGACACAATGAATTTAGCAGAACCAAAGAATGCTGGGTAAGAGAATTTGCATTTATCTAGTGACTTAGTAGTTCTTTTTGTAGCACTGTCCCACTTTCCGGAAAGGGCAATGGTAGCTAGTACTTGCATGGGCGATTCCCATGTTACCCTGCCAGCATGGGAAGATCTATGCTGCCAGTGTTATGTAAGACAGACTAGGTCCAACCGAAAGCCACAGAAAATAAGGTAGGAGATAGAATGCTTGTATTACTACATCTTCACTTTCTATCCTTTTGGATATATGTGATGGAATTAGCATTATCTTTTCCAGCATGTTGTAGCTAGTTGTTCTGCATGTCTGACTCCTTCATTGAGTTTGATATCAACAGACACAAGGCAACACTCTCCCAGCAATTTACACAGTGAAAGAAAGGTAGGTATGGAAGGTGGCCACAAAGGAAGAAAAAAGCAGGGGTGCTGAGAAATGGAGATGTAGACTCTAATTAGAGAAAAAAGAGACAGAGAGGTCCAGTAGGATGCAGAGAGACCTGTGGAGGAGGGAGGGAGGGTAACAGATGGGGATGCAGAGGAAATGGAGTATAGAAACGGACATGACTCTGTCTTGAGAGAAGATAGAAGGCTATGAGGTGGAAATAGGAAAGGAGGGTAAAAGACTATAACAAGGGAAATAATAAGAAATGCTTTCCCCCCATTGAACAGAATACCATTTATAATAAAAATGCAGACTGTCTTTAGAATGCGGCAGCTAGACTGGTGACTGGGAGTGGCTGCCGAGACCACATAACACCAGTCTTGAAAGACCTCCATTGGCTCCCAGTACGTTTCCGAGCATAGTTGGTTGTTGGAGTGTTGGTGCTGACCTTTAAAGTCCTATAGTGTTGGTGCTGACCTTTAAAGCCCTATACGGCCTCGGTCCAGTATACCTGGAGCGTCTCCACCCCCATCGTTCTGCCCGGACACTGAGGTCCCGAGGGCCTTCTGGCGGTTCCCTTGCTGTGAGAAGCCAAGTTACAGGGAACCAGGCAGAGGGCCTTCTCGGTAGTGGCACCCGCCTTGTGGAGTGCCCTCCCACCAGATGTCAAAAACAACTACCAGACTTTTAGAAGACATCTGAAGGCAGCCCTGTTTAGGGAAGCTTTTAATGTTTGATGGACTATTGTATTTTAATATTTTGTTGGAAGCCACCCAGAGTGGCTGGGGAAATCCAGCCAGATGGGCAGGGTATAAATGATAAATAATAATAATAATAATTATTATTATTACTATTGAGTCATGCAGCTCTATAAACATTTAGAAAGAAAGAAAAATACTTCAGGGCTACTTTATCCCCCACATCTATGCTCTGTTCCAGAACATGGCATTTTAAAGGCACTGTATACACTCTTTTTTTCTCTTACACACTGAGAAACACTTTCCCTTGCAGGGGAACTGGGTTTATTATCTGTTTTCAAAGTGGCCTACTTATCACCTCTTTGTTGACTTGCATGGGGTTTGGGGAAGTCCAGCAACTGATTTTCCTTCTCCATGATGTTTCTGCAGCTATTAGGCTACCATTATTAGATCACGGCAAGTGCCACAACTTGGTCTTGATATTCTCGTCCCTTCAGAGAAAGGAGTGGGGGGGGGGGAGCAGCTAGAGTCAGGCTCCCACTTCTGTGCCCCAAACAGCTCAACCACCTAGCTGTTTTTAGGACATTGAGGAGGACATGTACCATGGGAGCAACCCTGGAAAATCAGAAAATCCTCAATCTCAAGTTCCTGGGGGAAAGGTAGCAGACACAATTAACACCTAAATTTGCAAGGTTTGAGGAAATCTCCTTGTAACCCCTCAACACAATGGGAACTCTTTGGAGTTCCAGCTAACACCTGGCCTAAGGTAGACAGCTGCAAAATAGGTTGAAAATGGAGACAAGGGCACAGTGCCTCCAATGTGCATGGCTGAGGCCATTACCCACAGGAGGACATCCTTAGTATGGGCCAGGACTTTTGTTGTCAACTATCTAGGACATGGGTTGGCAAACTAAGGCCTGGGGGCTGGATCGAGCCCAAACGCCTTCTCCATCCGGCCCACGGACGGTCTGGGAATCAGCATGTTTTTACCTGAGTAGAAATGTGTCCTTTAATTTAAAATGCATCTCTGGGTTATTTCTGGGGCATAGGAATTCGTTCATTATTATTTTTTCCAAAATATAGTCCGGCCCCTCACAAGGTCTGGGGGACAGTGGACCAGCCCCCTGCTGACAAAGTTTGCTGACCCCTGATCTAGGATCACCCCCACAAAGATCTAAACACAGCAGAACAGTTTTCTGTGCAGGAGAGACAGTTCTATTAGGGGAAACATCCCTAAAAGTGTGGGTGTGTTTGGGCCTATAGCCTAAATGTGAAAAGGGGTTAAATTTGCTGCTGAAATCTTGAGTACAACTGAGATGGAAAGTGTAATATACAGAGGGCAATTGTTAGTCTTATCTGGACGAATGTATGTGCTAATGCTGATCTTTTCTTACTGTCTTTCCATTACAGCACTGATGATACAATTCCTGTCTATGCTTTCATCACTCAGCAGGCACCACTATCGGAGTCACCTCGTAAAGGATCATCCCTTCCAGATATTCAGGTTATACCACCACAATCCAACTAAGATGGCTGCTAATCAAGAAAAATATATAATGAAAGCCACCTTTCTTCATGGGCTCCAGGTCTATCAGGCAAATAATGCTGCAGTGATGAAATTCAAATGTTTTCTATACATTTCAATTTACTACTTCAATTATTCTTTCAAGGCAACGACTTTCTTTTAAAAAAAATTCACTAATGCTTTCTTGCAAGATGGAATCCTATTTCTTGGTAACATTTGTTTCATTTTAAAGTCTTTGTATTGTATAACTGTATTCTGAAATAAAAAATGAGGGCATTTTGTTCACAGCCCTTTTTGATAAGGTGAAACTTTCTGATTTTTGCCTTAATTCAATACAAAGTTTTAGCTTGCTGAAGTCAATGGGTTCAAGGGGATTTGTGCTATTAGATTGTTTTCCTGAAGAAAATCAGAAGAATTCTGAATTTAATAGCCATTTATTCATGATTAACACCAATGTAAGACACAACATACAGAGTATTAATCAATTCAATTATTCATTACCATTTTCAGTTTAAGCGCTTGCTGGTTACAAAAGGCAGAATATCAAATGAGTCCAATTTGTTTCATTAGACAACTTAAAAAATCACTGCATGGTTTCAAAGTGGAAGAAAGGACTTTGAGCAAGTTTTTTTTATGCCACTAACATCCCTATGAAGCCAGATAGTTTATCCCTCCCCATCCCATGACTGCATCACTCACAGCTAACCTATGCAGATCACACGCTGTGCAGTTCAAGATGTCATCTCAAGTTGTATGTACTCCCACTATACAGGACTGCCTTTAAATAGCCCTAGAACCTACAATTCTCCTTTGCACTAGTGCAATGGGAAGTAATATCCCCCTGAAAGCTAGACTGATAGAACCAATTGCGTCGTTATGAAGGCTTATTATTTTTGACACCATGATGGTCTAGCAGCCCCAGAAGCAAAGATCACACATGTTTTGGTTCCAAAAATATTTAGTGCATAAATAACGTATAGGCACATTGCTGTGTTAAGGTAGAAAATCTGTCCACTTTAAAGCAGCTTGCATGCTGCTTCCATGCATCATGGGAACTAAAGTTCCCACTGGTAAGGTTTCACTGTCTCTTTGCAACAGCTATTTCCTATGTGTGAGATTCTTGGAGACTACTTATTAAAGTTGAGTACCTACACATTTACTTCTCAGTCTGTAATGAGTAAATCTGTTTCTCTGAAGTATCCAAAGTTTATTGCGGGGGAAAGCTGAATTAGATTCTGACAGCAGGGCATACCAGCTGTGAACAGAGAAACAGCATTAACTGCAGCAATTGATTCTTAAAAACTAACATCCCATGAAAAATAGAGTCTGGGTTCTCAGCACTGGGTTGCATGAGTGGGACAAAAGAAGCTGATTTTGTCTGTTTACACACAACAGATTATTTTCTCTAGAATTAAAGAAAATACCTTGGGTTAGCCAGTATGTAGATGAAAAAATCTAAATTTTGTGTTAAAGGGCCCTGGCCAATTTGATTTTAAATGCAGAGCCTGAAATGAAGCAATCTTTGTTATTTCTAGGGCAACAATGGCAACAGGGAATATCCAAGAGCAGCTTGCATCAGTGGGTGAAGAATACTTTCAGCAGCATCTTGAGCAAATTTAACAAGGTGCTTTAGTTCCCCATGGTTGGCATAACGACGGCAGGCTTGGCATCAGTAGCATCTTCTTCCTTCCACTGAGAAGTGATTGTCTTCAGCTGTGTGTAGAAATGTACCCCCTGAAAGAGACAAAGAGTCAGATGTTCATATCAGTTTGTGCTGCAGAGTCGCTGGTTTTAGTTTTAACCATAAGGCTGCAGGGGAACCTGCAGTTCTTTTGACTTCATTGGACTCCAGATTTATCAGCCCCAGTCAGCATGGCCCATGGTCAGGAATAATTAGAGTTGTCGTCTAGCAACATCTGAAGTGCTATAGGTTCTTCACACCTGCCACAAGGCAAAATATATTTTCCCTGGAAAGTTCCTGCTCATTTTCTCTTCTTATCAGAAATACAGCATCCTGATAAGCCCTCCCTCTGTCTATCAAGTTTTCTTTCCTTCCTTGGCTCCTCCTGGCTTGCTGCAGCATGTATCATTATATATATATTAAAAAACAAACTTAATGGATTACCTGTTTGCCGTAGAAATTGGTGTCCCCCCTGAAAGACCCGCGAGAGCCAGTGAAGGAGAACATTGGCAAAGGCACTGGAATTGGAACATTCACACCAATCTAAAGCAAAGCCAAAATTGATAATTTTATTATAAATCAAAGAAAATGCACAAATCTAAAAAGAGTCAGGCTAGGCTCAAAAAGAAAATAAAGAGAAATCTTCTGCATTTAAAAAAAAATTGCGCGTTGAATGTTAGTGATGCATACAGCATCAGTTTGGTCCTCAGTTTGTTAATAAAATAGCCCTCAGTTCCTCGTTGGTAGCATGGCAAATGGCTCCACAAAGGGAAAATGGGGCAAGTGCATTACATTCAGATGGAGATCTCTCAGTATGTATGCTCCAATAGAGCAATGTACTTTGATGTTATAAAAGCAGTGGTTGCATGGTTGTGAAGAAGAATTCCTGAATGAAAAGCAGAAAGCAGAAAGAGGCTGCACAGGAAAGAGGACAAGGTTCTTGCACCTTTAGTGTTGGAGAGGGAATTTCCCAACCCTGCTATCCAACGATCTTTTCACTAAGAGATGCTAAAGATGGAATGTGGGACAGTCTGGATGTAGAGCATCTGCTCTGTCATGGAGCTATGATGGAGCGAAAACAGTACCCTGAGCAGTTCAGCACAAACCTCAACCTTTACATACCTGCCCAACGTCTACTAAGTGAGAGTACTTCCGAGCAGTGGCACCATTTGTGGTAAAGATGGCTGTTCCATTCCCATAAGGATTTTTATTGATTATTTCAATGGCTTCATTCAGACTGTCTGCTTCCAGAACCACTAGAACTGGTCCAAAGATTTCCTCCTTATAGCAGGTCATATTGGGCTGTCAAGAAAGAAGCAACTTTTAATTGTACCGCACGTCAGATTCTGCAGAAATCTTGTTTCTGACACTTAACACAGAAACATCCTTTTCCTTCACAGGTCATCACCACAAAGGACCCTTCTGTTCCTTTTGATGAAATGGCTGCCACTCTAGGCTATCATCCCTCCCTCCAATATTGAACTCGGATGGTGACTGTTGCCAGGATTGTAACCAGACGGGGAGACTAAGAAACAAGAAGGAGGCTATCACCAAGCTTGGGAGGGGAGAACCCCAAGGTTTGCAGAAGTACATAAAAAAGAGAACCACCACCTAATGCAGGGGATTGGGGAGGAAACCAACGAAAAGCAAGAGGTCTGAATATACTCAGTAGGCAAGGAATGTAGATGAACAATGGAAAGAGGGGGGAAATGGGATTCTTCTCTCAACAACTTCACAGCAGACTGGCAGGACGGAATGAAGTGAGGTTGAAAAATGTGTTGTAGTCTTGTGATCCCTACAATGACCCCAGTGAAAAGTATTCATTTATTAAACAGATTTTATCCCATCTTAGAGCATATTGCCTTGCAAGATGCTTCACAAACATAAACATTTGAAAGGCACATTGAAACATCAGATACAACCAATAAATGCCACGTTGCACAATTGTTCAAATGCCAGTCACATCTAAGGCATTCAAAAATATGCCAATTTACCATTTTTTTATTCAGGGAAAGGCTCTCCAGCGCATTCCAGCCTTTATTATTCCTTATCCATCCATTCCCATATATCCACCAAGCATCATTCTTGAACATCACCACTTTTTGACTACCATTCCACATTCTAGCCACAGCTCACTTCAATAGCCAGGTATCGGGACATTTGCAACATTTCACTATGGCACAAAATATAGCTGTGGGCCAACACCAGTCTTTTGAAGACCAAAGGGAAGGCTACCTCTTGGAACATGCTGGATCAATGTTCATGTCTTCCTTAGTTTTAAGGTGTTTTAATTTGCACCTGCTGATCAGTACATCAGCTCACCTTGACCTTCGCAAGGATTGTCGGTCCAACAAAATTGCCATTTTCAAAACCTTTCACTCTGATATTTCGTCCATCAAGAAGGATGCTAGCCCCCTCCTTTGCTCCACTGTCAATCAGTTGACAGACACGCTCTTTGGCCTGGGGACTGATCAGCGGCCCCAGATCTGCTCCAGGCTGGTCTCCTATGACAAGACACAAAACCTGCTCAAATCCTAAACTCTTCTTTTTAAACGCCTAACAAAAATCAAGCAATAAAGCAAGCAATGTCAACATAGGAAATTAAACATGGTCCTCGTGATGCAGCCTTGTAACACTGCTACATGTTTAGCCCATCCAAGGCTAACTGTGCTCTTTAGCTTCAGTCACAGGTTTATTTTAATAGTGCCATATATTCCGATCTTTTTCAACGTAGCTAAGTAATTAGCTAGCCAGCTATGCAACTCTTAATTTTGGTGACAAGGCAGTGAAGTTCCATAAAGTGAACATGGTTTTTATTATAAGGTTAAATGCAATGAGCGTTCTGAGATCTTTATTACATTATGAAAAAGCAGCGACTGACCCCACAAAGAAAGCAAATTTATTAGACACTTGAGAGAAACAATTTAATGGACAGAAGTTGCACTGATCATCTTCACGGCTCCAAAAACGAGCCTTTAACAAGCACATTACAACACAGATTCTAATGCTCTAGATTAGACAACCTGTGGCTCTCCATGTGTTGCCCACATGTGTGGAGCCCAACAACATCTGGGAGGCGACAGGTTGCCCACTCTTTTTCTAGATCTGCAGAAATTGGATTGGATTAAAACAAATGCATCGGCACCTGCATTAACTCGCAGCTTCTTGGCTCTCTCCACCAGTTCGGGCAGCCAGTTCCGAGCCTCTCCCACCAAGACTGCTGTGGATAATGCCATGCAACGTTGCCCAGCTGCTCCAAAAGCTGCTCCAACCAACTGATTCAGGGTGTTCTCCTTATTGGCATCTGGCATCACTACTCCATGGTTCTTGGCTCCCTAGAATGAAATGTACTTTTTTTTTATTTAAAAAAAAGCTGAATATATATATATTAAGCAACAGTAATCTTCAAACATCAGCTTAAATGGTCCCAGACCTTCAAGGAAAATGTGGCTGTTACACCAATGTAAAATCAGAACGAAAAAAGGTGCAAGGTGTCACAAAAAGTTTTTTGAGATTTTCTGCTAGATAACTAAGTGCTCCTGAATATATGGAGTATTTAAAGGTTTCGTGTTAACCATACTTAAAATGACTTTGAAGTTTGTCCTTTTTGACTGTACAGTGGTGCCTCGCAAGACGAAAATAATCCGTTCCACGAGTCTCTTCGTCTAGCGGTTTTTTCGTCTTGCGAAGCAACCCTATTAGCGGCTTAGCGCTATTAGCGGTTTAGTGGCTATTAAAGGCTTAGCGGCTTAGCGGCTAAAAGGCTATTAGCGGCTTAGCGGCTTAGAAAAAGGGGGGGAAAGCGGGGAAAAATCGCAGGACTCGCAAGACGTTTTCGTCTTGCGAAGCAAGCCCATAGGGAAATTCGTCTTGCGAAGCAACTCAAAAACGGAAAACCCTTTCGTCTAGCGGGTTTTTCGTCTTGCGAGGCATTCATCTTGCGGGGCACCACTGAAACATCAGAACTTCAGAAATACAATTCAGGACATTAAAATTATAGATTTTTTCCAGGATCATCAACAACTATCCTATAAACAGAGATGTCAAGTGGTGCATTATGCGGAGTTTTACCATATTGGCCTGCACTCTCTTGCCGTTCTTGGAACCCCTTTCATAGATATATTCTCCAGCCTGATTAGATCCTACAAAGCTGATTGCTTTGATATCAGGGTGATCACAAATAAAATTCACGGCTGAAAAAAGAAAACAAAAACAAAACACTGTTCATTATATCTCATCACCGAAGAGCTCTCCATCTTTGTGCTGTGGCAACAATAACCTAAACAAATAAACCAAATTTCTCCCTACATATATTAAGTAAATAGAAACATCGTCACCCCTCCCCCCACCTCTTTCCCCCTTTTCTCCCTAATGTCTCAACAAATGAAACTGATTTGTAAAAATGTTACATGGGGGGGGGGACACGAGAGAGAGAGAGACATTGCACATACTTTTGTAAATCAAGAAAAACTTTAATAAAAATACATTTTTAAAAAAATTAACCAGATTTCTCCCTCTCTCACACTCCAATGTTCTCACAGAACATCCTTAAAACAAAAACACTCTCCCATTTGGGCTATCTACTTGGCTCAGCAACCCTCACACCTTCCTTGTTCCCAGATCACTACACAAACACATGATCTGGACAAGCAAATAACCTGGTCACACTTGCAAATAGGGAAGACCAAGAGTGGTAAAAGGGGGAGATTTTTTCCTAGCCTTTCAAGGCATACCTCTTGAAGGAGTGGGGAATTTGCACCTGTGATTACCAGGATCAAAGTGGGAAAGATGGAGAAGGCGCTTATTTTTAAACAGCTAAAAGAGACCACAAGCACCCAATCTTGGCTATATAGCACACCCCTGCCTGCATGATATCGACATGATATCAACCCTACTCTGCCCCTACACTACAGCCTTGGAGGCCTGCCCTGCATTTGTTATTGTTATTATTATCTTTTTATTAAATTTCTACACTGCCTTTCATCTGAGGATCACAGGGCCGTTTACAATACAAAAACACAAGAATGCAGAACACCGTAACAAACAAAAGCAATTCCCCCCCCCCAGTTTATGGGTTGTTTAATTAGCCAAAGGCCTGGAATAAGAGGAATGTTTTTGCCTTAAACATTTTGTAATGAATGGCGCCAGGCGAGCCTCCCCTGGAATTACCTGCGTGTTGTCCGTGGATGATGTTCAGTGTCCCATCGGGGGCTCCAGCATCCTGCAGCAGCTTTGCAAGAAACATGAGGGCTCCCGGCACCCGCTCGGAAGGCTTCATCAAGAAAGTGTTCCCGCACACCATGGCCATGGGAAACATCCAGAGAGGAATCATGGCTGGGAAATTGAAAGGTGCTATGCCTGCGCACACTCCCAGAGGCAAGCGGTAGGTGTAAGTGTCCATATCTTTAGTGATGGAGGGAAGGGTCTCGCCCAGCATAAGGGATGTCACACTACAAGCATGTTCAACGACCTCTGCAACAAAGAACAGGGACTTCTCAGTTTCCAAATGCCCCTGGAAATGCTCTTTTCCATAGGTGGGCAAACTAAATCTGGCCCTTGGGTGGTCCAGTAATCAGCGTGTTTTTACATGAGTAGAATGTGTGCTTTTATTTAAAATGCCTCTCTGGGTTATTTGTGGGGTCTGCCTGGTCTTTTTACAGGAGCAGAATGTGTGCTTTTATTTAAAATGCATCTCTGGGTTATTTGTGGGGCATAGGAATTGGTTCATCCCCCCAAAAAATATAGTCTGGCCCCCCACAAGGTCTGAGGGACAGTGGACTGGTCCCTTGCTGCAAAGGTTTGCTGACCCCTGCAGTCTTTTCAATGTCCTCACAACCTGGTTAGCTTTTCCAGCTCCTTCACTATAACTCATACAATACAATCACCACCATCCAGAAATACTCCTTATTCCAACAGGGATAGGCAGCTGCTTGAGGATTACTTCGATTCAGATAATTAACGGGTGAGGTGGATTCATGTCCAAATGGAGACAGGAAGTATGGTAACGGGATTCTAGCATAAAGGAATACTGTCAGTATTATCAGAAAGATATCAGAAAGGAAAACAAAGCTCTTAGTATTTCAGAATATACTCGAAATATACAAAGCGAAAAAAGCAGAAGTGTTGTTTAAAATTCACAGAGTACTTGGAATTCCTTCTTGGAAGGTTACAGAAGGGCCTATCCTCCCAAGGCCCTAGAACGTCTAGTACTCAGAAGTATTCTGCTCTTCCCTCAGCCCGTGAAAAGCCATTTTCTATGTACAGCAAGAGGTGCCGGCAGCTTACGGAGGCCTCGAAACACATCTCCCTCAGCATCAGCCAGGGTCTTCCCTTGCTCTAAGGTGATCAGTTTTGAAATTTCTTTCTGGTGATTAAAAAAAAGAAAAGAAAAGGTAATGAGAATTCCTGAAACCAAGAAAAGGGAAACTCAATAAAGGTGGAAATAAAGCTCATCTACTGAACCAGAAGGCAAGAAGCAAGATTTACTGTGCTGCAGGAGGCCAAGTGCAATAGTAAGGAAAAGCCACTCTGCACATGAGTAATCACCACCCTGCCCCCATTTTATTCCTGGCTGTACGCAGCTGGTCATTTGGACCACTCAGAATGAGAATAAAATGCAATTTTGCAAAAGAAGAAGAAGAAGTCTTAAAGACTAATAATGTTATTCTGGCATAGGTTTTCAAGGACTACAGTTCACTTCATCCTGTTTCTAGGCAGGCTATGAACTCTATGTAGAGCAAGATAACATACCTCCTGAACAGGGTAAAATTGTTTAATGTGAGAAGAGGCTTGTACACTTTATTTTGCTCATTTCTGTAACAATTTTGTAGGGAAGGCTATCTTTATTCCCATTTTATAGCCAAGGACCAAGGGCTATAAAATGATTGTTTTTCAATCAGGCGTTATACTAATTTTATTAAATAAATAATAAAATTAGTATAACGCCTGATTGAAGAAAAAACCCCACCACAAAGCATTTTACAAGAATAAATCAATAACATTATCAGGACCCACAGTTTAAAAATAACTGTTCAAAACACACACAATCTGGTCAGTCCAGTTCCTCACCAGATTGTCTTTGATGAGCTGTTGGTATCGCAAGAAGACTTGCTGCCGACTCAGAATGGATGTCTCAGCCCAGTTCGGTAGAGATTTCTTGCACGAAGCCACTGCTGCTTCCATCTCACTTTGTGTAGCTTTGGGGACACGACCAACCACTTCATTGGTGGCCTGTTAGAATAGTAACACCAAAAAATGGTCATTATAAATGTGCCACCGACTCAGGATTGCCTTAACATAGGAATCCACAGATTGTGGCTAAATTTCAGGGCCAACTATTATCTTCTAGGAGCTAGTTGCAAAGTCCAGTCCAGCCCAACCTCAGTTTCAGTGGGTCACTATCCCAAGTAAGGATATTTAAGTTTACGGCCTTAAATTCATGATAAACTGAGCAATCCTAACCCCTGTCGTGCAGGGGGTGGTAGAATGCTGTGGCCATTCCTGGAGTCCATGACAGCTGGGATGGAAGTTTATTATTTCTTTGCACAATACCCACTCAATACCCATTACAAGGGTTGGGACAACCAGAAGCCAGAAACAATAAGTGAAATGGCTCCAAATCTGCTGCAACAGACTTCCATGTCCTGTGCAAACAGAAAATGCTTAGCTGATTATGAACCTTCTTCTTTGAAGGCACTAATCAAGGAAGGGTGTCATCTCTAATATATAGAAATGGGATTTCTTGAGAATCCAAGATGGGGATGAATAGCAAACTTTTGAGTCTCAGCTGCAAAGTTGCCACGTCTCTGAATAGATCTGCAGGGGAGGAAAAGGGAATGCAGCATGCTTTGCTAACAGCACATGAACTCATGCCTGACAATCAGGGATTTCTCTTAGGGACTGTGGTGGATGACCCTTGCTCTGAAAAACGTGGTGAAAATTAAAGGGTTAAGGGACTCAGACCAGACTAAATTTCATTAAATCATACACAGACTGTTGGGGTCCGCTAATTGGGCCCAATCTGCCTTGGTCGACTTTACAAAACTCTACAAGAGAGAAAAACTCCCAATAATTACACAGATTAAAATAGCTCAGAAAGTAAGAAAACATTAAGCACAACCTTATCCAGCTAATTAACATAAGTGCTTACATTTAAATCTCAATAGCCTGAGCAAGATGCTGTCCAAAGCCCAAATAAATGCTGACCTCGGCTTGGCTGGTTGGCTGTGGAGAGATCCCACCAATCCAGGTTTTATGGGAACTTAGACCGTGGGTGTTCACCTCTTCCACCCCAGTTACCTTGTGACACTGTCCTTGAAGCCTTAACAGGAGACATCTGTATGCAAGCTCATTATTTCTGATGTTCTAACCCACGGGTAGGCAAACTAAGACCTGGGGGCCAGATCCAGCCCGATTGCCTTCTAAATCCGGCCCGTGGACGGTTCGGGAATCAGAGTGTTTTTACATGAGTAGAATGTGTGATTTTATTTAAAATGCATGCCTGGGTTATTTGTGGGGAATAGGAAATTGTTCTTTTCCCCCCTTCAAAATACAGTCCGGCCCCCCACAAGGTGTGAGGGACAGTGGACCTGCCCCCTGCTGAAAAGTTTGCTGACCCCCGTTCTAACCCATTCCCATAAACCAGTCTTAAAAGGGGTGATATCACCACAGGGACACACGGCTTTAAAGTTGCCAGACTAGCCTCCAGATAAAATCAGTTGTAGCTTGTCCCACTAGGAGGACTCAGGAGTACATTAAGCAAAATAATGTCAGTGATTACGTACCTACACTTAGTGTCTGGAATCTTAAGCCTGGGATGGGGAACTCATAGCCTTCTGGATGTTACTGTCAACTCTCATCAGCCCCAGTCAGAATGGTCAATAGTCAGGGATGATGGGAGTTGTAGTCCAGCGACATCCAGAGGACCACATGTCCTCTAAGCTCACTGCTTTAAGTTCCAGCCAAACAACTTTATTCCTCTGCCGGTGATAAACTGGACCACATGACAGCTTATGCAGAAAGACATTTTAAATTTCAAGCTAAAGACAGCTTTGGAATTCAGACTACTTAAGCAATTCCATTTTAAAGCGTTGCTCCTGCGTGCCTGTTCCTTCTTACACTGGTCAACTGCACAATCCAACCCTTTCCTGCCTCAAAGAAGAAAAGCACAAAAGAAAATGGACGTTTACTTACTGGGTTGTGAATATCAATCCATTCATTACTTTTGGAATCAACAAATTTGCCATCGATGAACAGCTTGGTTGTTGGCTGCAGAATACAAAGGTTTGGTCAGTGTCAGAGTTTATCTGAATGCTGAAATACCAACTAAGCTAAACTCTTCCACATACTTAACATAAGGATTAAGTATCAATTCTTTTTTCCTTTCTCGCCCTCTAATTCTCTTCACGGAGCTGCAGTCATTTATCCACATTTATCTGCAACCAAAGTTAGTGAATACTGCCAGAAAAGTGGGTTGAGAATTTGCAATCCACAAGATTGTTTAAAGCCAATATACTTGCAACTAAAACTTTATTTTGGAAGAAACCAACTCACCACTGAAGATGAATAGGAGGATGAAAAATGCCAATTTGCCTTCCTCTGGATCTGCAAGATGGAAAAAACAGGAACACGGAACTTACTCAGCAGCACGGCTAGAATTTTCTGTGAAGACATTCAGCTACCCTAAATTCACCCAAGGCTGTGCCATGAAAAGTCGACGTATTCACTCATTTTCAAACTGCCATAATTTACTATTGCTTTGTGTCATATGCAAATTTGTGTTCTCTTTTGCAGGTGGAGTAGAGCGCCAAAGACTGAACTGGGGCCACACATAAGTATTAATATGCCTGACAAACATGGAGAAATGAAGGCCCTGAAAAAAGACTGGGAAAATTCAGGGGCGGGGGAGAATGTTTTTCTGTTTTTCCCAAAGTCTCTTTTTTCTTTTGGCTTTCTCCCCAAATAAATAGAAAAAAATCTATGTTGCGGGGAATAGACACCCATGATAAATATGAGATGTAATAAGAATAATTCTTATTTGAAACATACATTTATGCTTATGAGGTTTGGAGAGAAAGTACCTACTAGACTGTATAAATATTACATTTGGGGGGGAAAGCTAGCATGTCAGAGGATAATATTATTTTAAATTATCTATCTACTACATGGAATTTGACAACTGGTCAAAGTAAATAGATTCTCCGCACCCTCACTACTGCTAAAATACTGATATTGATTGAAGAGATGACAACTATTGCAAAATACAAATGGAGAGCTTATAGACATAGACTGCATATGGACAAATATTGTTATTTTGAAAGCATTTATAAAAAATATAGTAGGTTATAAATAAATGTATATGTATTGGAATAAAAATTTCATTTATAGACATTTGTGTTATATATGTAAAGAATTATAGGGAGTTTTGTATTTTTATGCACCTTTTCTTTTCCTTTTTCTCACTTTATTTTGTTCATCTGAAATCTTTTCAATTGTAAATTAAAAAGTCCATAATAAATATGATGGCAACATAGCTTCTCAACCACAATTCTTGCTCACCTGAGATATGGATATACAGTGGTACCTCAGAAGTCAAACGGAATCCATTCCGGAAGTCCATTCAACTTCCAAAATTTTCGGCTGCCGATTGGCTGCAGGGAGCTCCTTCAAAATTGTCAGGAGAAGGAACTTCCTATGTACTTTTAAGCTATTTGCAAATATTCCCTTGGGTTTGTACGACTACGTTTCTCCACAGCACTCATTAATCACAGCTCTGACTTCCTACCTTTCAGAGTTTTTAGCCAATGAGTGAGCAGGCTCCTATCTCACAAAGCAATTCCTTCAAACGTTCCTTGCACATTTTGCTTTTGTTCTACAAGGGCAAGAGATTATTTTATGTCTAAAGGAACTCAAAGTCTGGGCCTGATACAGCTGTACCCCCCTGCCTGAACTCCCACCGAGGCCCTGTATCCATTTGTCAAAGAAAGCCAAAACGGTTTATGCCTCCTTCCCCTTCTCCAAACTTCTGTACTGTCTCTTTATGCCTCCTTCCCCTTCTCCAAACTTCTGTACTGTCTCTTTCAAGCTCCATAGATGAGGCTGTAGTAAGGAACCTGCAAGATTTTCCAGTGTGCATTTCATTTGGAACTACAGCATGTCACACAATTGTAGAGGGCAGTAACCAATTCAGTAGTCATTTCAAACACAACTTGTGGTTAATTAGGATCTACAACACATATGTTAATTCTGTACTGAGACAGGTTTACTCCGACTGTAAGTCGCTTTGGGGTTGCCCCAGGGTTGCAATTGACAAATAAACAAGCAAATACGGTACTCTGCAAGGCAATTAGAGAGTTAAACTGTCATGTATGAACGGATCCCTGTATGTACTTGGCCCCATAATCACAGAGTGTGTTCAAGGCGGCTATACACACTTACCATGGAGGAATTTAGCAGAACTAGCCTCCAGGTAAATAGGCATAGACCAGCGTGCACTGCATACATTCAACAGTGCTTTAGACTTTGGAAAAGTACAATCTAAAGCAAGGGTGGGCAGAAGATAAGCCCACCAGCCAGTTTTCCGTGGGATTCTTCTTGCAATGGGCTCCTGCCTGCATGGATCCCGGTCTGATCCTACAACACGCTTTGCGATGTCCTGTGGCGGCTTATGCACACTCAGGGATAACTGAAAGCAAAGGCGAGCGATTGCACCTTCGCCTTTCAGAAATCCCGGGTGTAACCTCGCTTCGCACGTGAGAAAGCAAGCGGGTCCACCCACTCAAGGCTGAAGTTCGCTGGCTCCTGAGAAGCGATCCCCGTCGCCAGCCAGATTCCATCGCCTTTTGCAAGGGGGGCGGAGCGAGTGCGGTGGGACGAGAGTCGATCCCGCTCCAGGGGCTATTCCGGGTGTGTGTGTGTGTAAATTATCCCCCTGCCCGCTCGCCCGTATGTGTGCTTGGGAGTATTCAGGAGGGCAGTTGAAATGGAGGAAGGGGCAAGATCTCTCGCCTCCCGCGGACCCGAAACCCCCAAGAGGAGCCCTCCCCATTCCCCCCACCCCAGTCTCTTTCGGGGCCGCTCCCCCTCCACCATGCAGTCTCACCCCGAGCCAGAGGCGCCGCCCTCCCTGAGACCCCCGAGCCGCAGTCACCGCCGCCATTCTGCCAGCGACCACCTGCCAAAAGGCGCCCCGCCCACCTCCAGCTCAACCATCGAACCCCGCCCGATCTTTGAGCTTGGCCAATGGAATCACGAGCCCCGACGTTTTCTCCGCCCCTTTCTCCCTTAGCAAGCCAATGGGATAGTGCTAGAACCTGGCTCGGACCCACCCCTTCAGCTCCGGGTTTCGATTGGCTACGTTGCCGTCAACGCCCCCTCTAGGAGAAATCTGACTGGATGGGTCTCCCCCCCCCATCCCTGCTCTCTCTCTCTCTCTCTCTCCCCTAAATCACGACCTAGTGGGAGGAGTGCAGGAGGGAGGGGGCGGAGCAAAGTTGGCTCGTTCGAAAAGGAAGCGTCATATGTTTAGGTTCCCGCGTGCAGGCGGCCGGGTGTCACGTGAGGGGCCAAAATGGCGGTCTCAACGGAAGGTAAGAGGTGGTGCTGAGGAGAAGGTGAAGGTTTTTCCAGTTTTGCGAGTATCTCTTCCACTGGCATATTAATACTATAATTTGTGTCCACTTGCTTGTCTCTCACTGGGTGGGCGGGGTATAAATAACTAATTATTATTATTAAATTATTATGAGTACGTGTGCATAGGGTGGACCGAAGCTGTCGCACGGGAACAATCCTCACTGAATACAGCGGGTAACTTTATTCCTCAGTAAACCTGCTCCAGTTGGAGCTGAAATGCTACTTAAGCAAATTCCTCAGATTTCCCCTCAGATCTGGAAATAACTGTTAATGTTTATAGTCACATTTGATTCTCTGTTCATCTAGTCAGGCTCTAAAGTGGCATAGAACAGTGGCAGTGCGCCTCGTGTCTTGAATGCACACGGTCCCAGTAATGTCAAGCACAGTCAGTAGATCATGAAACTCTTAATCTCAGTCATGGTTTTGAGTCCCACAATGATTGGAAGTATTTTGGTTGTTCTTCTAGGCACAGACTTGGAAGCCTCCCTGCTGAGCTTTGAAAAGTTGGACCGGGCTTCACCAGACCTCTGGCCTGAACAATGTAAGTTGCACTCAAGTGGGAAATGTGAAAAGGCATGGAGAATCTTTGGCGACTATGATATTGCTCTGACTTACAACCTGCTGTTAGGATGTTACTGACAGTGTCTGCATGTTGAATGTAAACCTGTCTCAGAACAGTCTTCAAAAATGCACCATAGAGTGGTACTCGATAGCCTCCTAATAGTAGCATCATTCCTGGTTACATGGACATGGTGGCAGCAAGTTGGGGCTGTGTGAGCATGTTGGCAAATCCAGTCCAGAACTCCCGCTGCTTTGCTTGTGTAGCCCCTATCACTACTGTGTCTCACTCTCACACTGCTCCAGTTAGCAGCAACAGCATGGCTGTTGGGAGGGCAGTTGCCTGGTACTGTGCCAGTCGCTTCTGTGCACATGCACATTCATTTACATAGGCACGCTCATACACTTTTGTTTAGCAAACATAACAAATGTTTAGTTGAACTAACACGTTTTAACTATTGTGTTTTCTATCCTTTCAGTATTTGTGTTTTCAAAGTGGTTTTAAAAATACATATTGGCTAATTGTGAGTAAGCACTTTATTATAGCCAATCCAGTTTAAGGCTGCAGTCATATGCAGAATTAGCTGGGAGTAAGCCTTACTTACTGTGAACTTTACTTCTCAGTAGAGAGAAGTACAGGATATGTGTATAGGATTGCACTCAAGGGCTCCAGGTGTGTGTTTCGTTGATGGACCAAAGAGAAATCATGCAAATTACTACTGAGCTGCAAATGTTATAGAAGCAAATAATTAGTTTTGCATTTGCACAGTCACAGAATTCAACATGAATGTGAAGTAATACATGGTACAAATGAATAATCATTTTATGCTGAATATCTCTAGCAATTTAACTGGTGGAGTTAGCAGCAGAAATCATAAATTGCCCTTGAAGTTGTAGAGAAAGTTGTACTCCAGTAAATGTTTCTGTTTTGTCTCCAGTACCAGGTGTTGCTGAATTTGCAGCTTCTTTTAAAAGTGTAAGTAATTTCTCACTTGGATTGACAATTCAATACTAAACATATCTGCTCAGAAGTAAGCCCCAATAAATTCAGTAGGACTTAGTCTAACCATTGTTCACCTAGGCCCACCAGTTTATCACCCAGTGTTATTGCCACTGTGTTGTTCAGAAATCTGATATATTGCCCAAGAAGGCAAAGACATCCCATTTCATGCAAAAAACTGACTAAGAACTAATTCTAGACTTGGATGTTGTAGCTAACTTGACAGAGCTGACCCATCCATTAGCTGGGGTAAACCAGCAGATTTTAGGTCTCCATTAAAGTAGAGGAAATTGGTATGTTTTTCACTTATTATAGTTTTTACACTGTTTTGTGGAGTTGTTGGCCTTCTCTGCCTGAGGCACTAAAGTGTCTTGGGCCATCTATCTCTGCAAATTGCAAATTCTGGTTGTGTGTTTCTTCACTGGGAGCTTAGCAACCTGCCATATTCAAGGACAACTGAAATGGCCTTTTTTGAAACTCCTTTAAAAAAATATAAAAATTTATCTCTTGAACTCATGACACTTTATGTCTTTTTTTCAGCCTGTTTTTATATTTTTAGAAAAGCAAGTTATGCATTATATATTTTTTAATATTTGCAACCATGAGAACTTTTTAAAAAAGGCTGGATTTTTAGGGTGTCATAAAATAGGAAACTGACCAGTGGGTCATAAAGTGGATGGTGATAGTTATATTCTATGTAAGTGTCATGGAAATGTATAACGTAATAATTTTCATACTTCTGAGTTAAGAATCTATTGGTGTATGGACACTGCATGCTGAGTTTTGTTCTGTCTACTACATTAAAATTGTAGTATTTTTTTGTAGTTTATACAACATTGTGTAGCTATTTAGAACTTGACTGGTGATCTGAATTTTTTGTACTTGTATCACAAACAGGATTCTGTGTAGTCTGCATGTGCCAGTGCTGATATAATCTTATTTGAATTGTACTTCTATGCTTATAGTGGGAATATTTTGCAAAAACAATATTTGCTAATATTTCTTATTTACATTTTGATCCTGTTTTTCAAAGAAAAATTAGCTTCGTTCTGCTTCTAGTTCTGCTTCCAGCAGCTAAACTCCAATGTAATTAACAATTGCTATGTAATGCAAAATGCTATTGGGGAGTAGGTTTTGATCTGGTTTCGTATTCCGGCATGATAAAAGGGTTTCTGGCTCCTTCCTTCATTCTGACAGCCTCAGCAATGGTAAATGGTAAAATGAAAAATGTGTGTGGTTATTCAAAAACCCTACAACTAGTACTGCAACCTTAATTCCACTTACCTGAGAGTAAGCTCCATAGAAAACACATGCTCTGTATCAAAGTAGAGCGGAATTTTATGCAATTTGGCAGCTGAGCCTATTTTCTATCAGCTGGTTCCAGATATTAGAAATATTTCCCAGTTTCTGTTTATTGTTGTTAGCCGCCCTGAGCCCAGCTTTGGCTGGGGAGGGCGGGATATAAATAAAATTTATTATTATTATTATTATTATTTATCAAAGATACAGGTAATCACAATTTTTCTATATATGTGTGTGTGTTTATTTTTTTTAATAGCCCATCACCAGTTCTCCTCCCAAATGGATGGCTGAATTAGAAAATGATGATATTGACATGTTAAAAGGTGAGTTCCTGTCAATGTTTGAGCACTTCAAATGACTGGAATTAACAAGCCCGGTATAGTTTGTCTTTAAAACTACACAAATAGTTAAATATTTGTTTTTTATCTTTTTAAGCTCTACTCAAGCATTCATCTGAATGTATGTGGGCAAAAGATTGTGATGGGGGACAGGGGTGCACACGTAAGCCCACCCCAGTGTCCCTGCACACACCTCATTCACACCAGACCTTTCCATGCTGGGAGGGAAAGCTTGAAGGGAAGATTAAAGACTTTGGCCAAGGGTGTGACCAGCTAATGTTCATCATGTATCTGTGATTCTGGATCCATTCATTGAACCTCAGACTTGGAGAACATCATGCAAGATGTGTATTTCAAGGACTTAGAGAACATCATGCAAGATATTCTCCAAGTCCTTAAAATACACAGGAGTATTAAACCACTAGTGAATTTCTGTATGTAATACTGGTTTCCAGAATAGTAGTTGTTGATGATGATACAACATTCTGGGAGCGATAAAACCCTTCTTTGAAGTATATGTTTCAATTTTTCTGTATAACCATTTTAAATTTCATGGTTAATTATTACTACAGTATTATTACATTTGTTACACATACTTCACCAGCAGGTTGCAGGGCATTTTTCTTCAATAAGCTTCTTACATAGATGCTTCAGATCAGGCTAAATGTAGGACTGGATGTTGGATTTGTATGTCTATAACAATTTTTTGTCTACATAGTCTTTAAACCAGCTCCAGTCATGGAAGCTAAGCTTAAGGATGTGGTGAGAGCAGTTTATAGCCATTTAAATGGACTTGAGCAACACTGTGTAAAAAAGAAAGAGAAGAGCTGTAACCTTAGACATATTTGGACAATGGTGTGCCAAACAGTATAATAGAATAGTGACGATACTAAAGAAACAACATGAAGTCTTTGCTAGGAATTTATTTCATGGCACATCTTAAGCCACACTTCTTCTTTTTTAAGAGTTGGGGAGTCTCACCACAGCTAATCTAATGGAGAAAGTGAGAGGTCTGCAGAATCTAGCATACCAACTGGGACTAGACGAATGTAAGTAGATAGTTGCTAAAGTGTATTCTGTTTAAAAACTGTAGGTCTGTTGCTTAATTTTCTTATAGAGCCATAGGAAAACTTTACATATTCAGTAAGAACATATTCAATATTTCACTTGTGAGAAATAATACGATAGCCAGGTATGTATGATATTGCACTGTTAGTCTCCTGAAAAATTAACAGTTTGGCGTGGCTGCATCAGTAGTAGAATATCTCTACAAGCAGTTGCTGGGTTCCTACAACGATTGTGTGTCTCAACGATTTAGGTGGGATGTTTCTGCTGTGAATCTCTTTGATGTTTTGTAGTAGTAACCCCATAAGATAACCGAAGTATGGATTCAGAGTACTTTGGAACACTTCTTACTTGAAGATGAAATTACTCTATTAGGATTAAGTACTGTCTTATGATATGCAAGATAAATAAATAAATATTTGAATCAGTTTATGAGAGTCACAACAAAAGCAATCTTTCAGTATCCTCTAGGTGGCAGCAAAATGCTACCTAGAGATAATTGGTTCTCCGTGATGTTTTTGTAGCTTTTTAGATTTGGATTGAGTTCTTTTGGGGGGGGAGTGTTAATCACTGAATTATTATATTGTACTGAAAAATGATATCAGAAAGATTGTCTCCATGTAGTAATGTTGATGGTCCCTTATTTTTGTGGAAAGTTTGGTAGAGAAATTTCTATTGACATTTTTTTTTAATTCTTCGTTAGCAGTTTGCAGGTTTAGGCGTTATAATTCTCATGGTCAGTCTTTGCTCTCTCTTGAAATTAGATTTGATATTTTGCTGAGGGGACAATTTATTTAGGTAATTCTAGAGTTCAATTGGTTTTTAAACTATAAATTTATAGTTCCATGTACTAATATTTCTCATTATAAAACTTGCCTTTCTTTGCTGCTCTCTGACATTTAGAACGTTCCTGCGTATTGTATATGACCACCGAAAGCAAGCCATAAGAAAAATACCTTAGTAATTTAGTTTGTAACTTACTATGGTACTATCCTGTTCATTAGGTTCCTCTGTACAATTAGGTAATGGCACAATCAAATCTTAGTTTAATAAGCAGAGATATGCACAAGCTTCAGACACCTACCTCCAACTGCTTTGTTCCTCCCTTTTTCTCAAGCCAGAAAGCAGATTAAACCATGATTTCTTATTAACATCTGATTCAGGAAGCTGTAGAAAGACAGGACAAGACAGAACTTTTAAGTTATGGCTTGCATATCCTGGCTTGTTCAGCAGCCATTAACCATAGTTTCCTGGTTTATATGTAATATGAAATCACAGTTAAATGCATCTTCCTGGTTTGTTCATTCGTGCAAAGGATTAAGCAGAGTGATTGCATTCAGGTGCCTGAAGCTCATGAATAGTTTAATAAGATGAGATGAGATTTGATTATTCAAATGTTACCATTAAATAACTTGTTTGGAGGATCATAACTCTTTACATAGCATTTATATACCACCTTTCAATAAAGTTCTCCTGCTGGCTTACAAAATAAAAACACTAAAAATCCTAAAACAAATACCAATAGCAGAGAGAAGACAATTCATCTCCTACAACTTGGTAGCAAGAGAAGGGGATAAACAGGCCTCATGAGAGAGGACATTCTGTAGTACTGAAGCCATCACAAAAAGGCCTCTTGGGTATGTCCACCTGATACGCATCAAGGATGCTGGCCAGCTAGCTGGCCACAGGCAAAATCCAGCCCCGCAAGCAGTTTTGCTGGGTCTCTGGTAGTTCTATCAGATTATACTTGAGGTTTGCTAAAAAGTAAAAATTTAGAGAAGCTCTGTTCTGCAAAGGCAGAGATCTGTCGGTAACAGTCTATGCCAGGGGTAGGCAACCTAAGGCCCGTGGGCCAGATGCGGCCCAATCGCCTTCTACATCCGGCCCGTGGACGGTCCTGGAATCAGCGTGTTTTTACATGAGTAGAGTGTGTCCTTTTATTTAAAATGCATCTCTGGGTTATTTGTGGGGCCTGCCTGGTGTTTTTACATGAGTAGAACATGTGCTTTTATTTAAAATGCATCTCTGGGTTATTTGTGGGGCATAGGAATTCGTTCATTTTTTTCTTCAAAATATAGACCGGCCCACCACATGGTCTGAGGGATGGTGGACTGGCCCATGGCTGAAAAAGGTTGCTGACCCCTGGTCTATGCACTGAAAAATTGCTCATAAAAAATGGTTACAACGCACATGCAATGTTAGTGCTACCTCTATATAAGCATGGTTTAAATGCAGTGTTGGCCTTGTATAAGCCTGGGGCATACCTATACTAAGATGGTGCCAAAACTCCGAGGGCATCTGGCTGGCTAAAGCTGTTCTACATTGATAGCACCAATGTTGCAACAAGCTCAGCACTGTCAAGATTGTTGGTGGCTTTTCTGATGGTATGGGACCAGGCCACCGAATATTAGTCTCTAGTCCATCAGCAGACTGTGATCAACATTCTGCCTCCCTTCTCTCTCCTCATTCCCCACTTCCCACTCTGGTCATGCTATTGTGGGGTTTCACCTGTCATAAGGTGGTCAGTTTGTGTAGCAAGGTATGGTCCTAACCCCCAGACAACTATCTGGAACAGAGTGAGTGCAAGAGTCTGAGCATTCCTGGTTTAGGTCCTAGACTACTCCAGTACATGAGCTGGAGTAAATTCCATTGCTGGGTCTTATTGAGAGGTATGTAATGCTTGATTGAGATGGCTGTCAATCAACTGATAGCTTCCATACAGCCATACAGTTTTAGGTGAGCCATAATAACAGATCAGATACCTTTTTTTAGATCAGGGATAGCCAGTTGCAATCTAGAGGCAGCATCAGGAATGCTACCAGTTATCTAGTCCCTGCTAGGCTCATTGCGTTGAGAAAATAATCTGAGGGTGAAGACAAAGCTGAGACTCTTCCATGCTCATTTTTAGGGCAGGGTGGGGAGCGAATGGCTAAAATCAGTTGTTCCAGAAAGTAGTAGAGTGTGACTAGAAGAACCTTGTGTCCGCATTGCATTAAAAAACAACCTGCTAGGATCATAAGTAGAACTTTCTTATACCCTCCCATCAGATGTATGGATAAATGTAGCATGGCCATAGGTTCTGAAACTTTCTAGTGTTGCCCTCCATGTTCATCTTGCTGAACATGCCATAATGTAGCATTGGGGACTCTCCAGGGTTTCATGCAGGAGACATTCTCCCAATGTGGAGATGTCAAGGACTGAATCTGGGACTTACCATGGAGGCTTAGCCCTTCCCCTCTGCAACAATAGGTATAAAAGCTTCTGATTTGGGGTGCAGGCACTCTGTACAATTTCAGAGGCACTACCATTCCGTCGTGTGGTCCAAGGATGAGCTCAGCACCAGTAGGGAACATATCAAGGTGCCTTATACTGAGACAGCTCATTCGTCCATCAAAGACAGAATTGTCTAGCTTATATTGACTGAGAGCAACTCTCCATAGGTTTCTCCCAGTCCTACTTGAAGATGCTGGGGATTGCCCCTGGGTTGCTTCTTCTGCTTGCCACAGCTTGCTATTGTGCTTGGCATATTTCATTTTCCAGCACTCAAAAGCTGCCCACCAGATCACAGGCGGCCCTGCTAGAGCCCCTCTGATTTTCACCATCCCACCTCAGAGGAGGAGCAAAAACACTTCCATGCTGTGCAAATACCAATGGATGGAAGAGAAGCCAGGCACATAGGGTACTACACAGGCTCACAATCACTTCTGTCTGGAAGGAAAGGCCAGCCTTTCCATAAGTCAGGGCTGAAGAGGCTCCTGCTGACTGGAAGATTCCTGCAGATCCTGAGATCCATGGAGAAATCTGTCCCACATGATTTTAATGCATCCAGGCTGCTGTTTCTGTATAATACAGTTGGTTTATATTTTGTATTGATCTCTTGTTTTATGATGCTTTTTAAAAATGTTGGGATAACTCTGCAGCCCCCAGGTTAGCAACCACTGATCTGGACTAGTAGTTTATACAACACTGTGTAGCTATTTAGAACTTGACTGGTGATCTGCATTTTTTGTACAGTGGTACCTCGGGTTAAGAACTTAAGTCGTTCTGGAGGTCTTTCTGGGTTAGCAGAGTCTGTAACCTGAAGCGCCTGTAACCCGAAGTACCACTGTATTGCTATTTGTGTAGTACAGCATAAAATGCAACCAAACCTCAAGTTTAAATAATAGAACAGTTGTGATATGCAGAGCAATGGTTCAGAAAGAGCTGGTTTCACCTCGGAGAATTGGCTTTATTAAATACAAAGCTACCATCTGTTCTTGAATGTAGTCAGAATTACTTTAGCTAAAATAATTTGCAGCAATGATTAGACAACCATGTATAATTTTACTTTAAAATATTTTATGATTGTCCTACACTTAATGAATTCATCTGATATTAATTTTGTATTCCCTGATATGCACAAAGTATCATAAACCACATCAAAATTCAGAATTGTTGGTTTTTGTTTTTGTTTTGCTACAATGTTTTGCTACCATGGTCATGTAACTGCATAAACTGTAGAACTTGCTATTTGATACCTAGTCTCCAAGGAAAATAACAAGCTGGCATTTAGACATTGGTTTGAAAGTGGGGGTGCTTTATGATGAACAGAGAGAGGGCTTGGAAGTTCTTCTGTAACTTGATAACCGTGTTTATGTAGGCTTTTGTGTATGGAAGGTGTGGCTTGCTAGTATGCCATGAAAGAGAATTCTAGAAGCCCACATGGAGTTGCATCCTGACTAAGTTAGTTGAACATGGGGCCCATTGAAATCTGTGAAACAAATTAGTCACGATTTGACTTGCATTCCATTTATTTAAACTAATTTAGTGTGGATCCAACCCCTGTACAGTACTTATTTTGTGTTGTGTTATTGCCAAGTTGCTGGCTTCTTTTGGAATGAACATGGATGTTCTGCAGGTTCTGTGGTTTGCTTCTTGTGTTTCATCTGGTACTCAGATAAGATATATTGACTCCAAAATGTGTATGTAATGTGGCAAATAATAT